ACGCACACGCAACGCACCTTTCTGCCCGTGCTCCATCGGTCTCCGCCGCACGCCTGGCGGCAGTCCTCTGACGAGCAGCAGCTCTCGCCCGGTCAAGCTGTGGGCTGCCTAGGGGCTCCCTCTCCCCGTGGCTTTGTCTGCGCCGCGAGTCTGTGTGCGTCTCTGCCTCACGGAGGGAGTTCGGGTCAATCGGCCCCAACGGACGTCTACTCATCATGCAATTGCCATGCCATGCAGGCCGCTGTGGCTGTGTCCGCTCTGCGCTGTTGGTGTGTCGCTGTGCCCGCTGAGCGCGTGTTGTCTGCTGTGCGTGTGTGTTCAGTCTGCTCGCTGAGCGCGTGTTGTCTGCTGTTGCTGTTTGCTGCTCTGCTGTGTAAAAAAAAAAAGTGCGCCCTGTAGTCACAAATCAAGTCCTGTACTCTAAAACCTAGTTTAAGCGAACACAACACACGCACGCACTTTTTTTCCTGCATCGGCCCCTATATTGCGCTGAGCCCTCTCAGGCAAGATTAGAAATCTCGCTTCGCTCGAATAAAACAACTACATACAGTCTCGCCTGCAACTGTGCTCATGTTCTCTGCTGAGTACCATATCTTCTTTCTGTATTATTTCTACGGAAGGCTAGTTGCCGCAGTCGCACCTATGGTAAACTGTGCCTGACTACGTTGTAACAATTTTCCTCGACACTCGGCAGACCTCCTCCCCCCCAGTGGACGTCGTGTTTTTGGTTGGCGACGCCTCTGTTTCTCCCCCGATTTCCTGGACCCCGTATATTGCCGTTGTTGTTTGACATTGCCTGTTGCAACAACCAGATGCCGCCGTGAACAGCAGAGCGGATGGCGAGCAGAGCGGTGGGGAAAACGACTTGTTCCACGACGAATCACCGGCTACGGGGCTGGAGGGCCTGGGCGACCCGGAAGTGCAAGAGCGCCTCATGTGGGAGACTATGCTTCATGCTCTCCTGAACCCGCCCGAGATGGAGGACGAGACAGCACACGCGGAGGCCTCAGGCAGCGGCATGATCGGCGGTGAGGTCTACGCCGGCACCCTGGGAGAATCTCCTTCCTACCTGACCGTCGGATACGGGTGCACGTACGAGGCGAGTGAAACGGTGACAATGGAGAGCTCCGAGTTGCACCTCAACAACTGATCGCCGGCGGCGGCGGCGGCGGCGGCGGCGGGAGCGGTGGGCGATGATGGCCTTGGCGGCGCGGCGGCATCGCCGGCGACTGGAGGCGGAGGTGTTCGACAACCTACCGGAGCAGGTCAACTGGTGATGGTGAGGAGTAGCCACGGCGGTTTGATTTCGCTCAACAGTACATTTGTAGTTGTACGTTCGTCGTGTTTGAGTACAATGTCGAGCATCGAGTATGTTAGTCGTTTTTCTGAAAAATGGTGTTGGCTAGACGGTGCGAAGGCCTGACCTGACGGGATAAGTTGAAAGACGCCGTACTATTTACAACAACTTTCTTGCCCCCTCCCACCGTTCCAACCTCCCCCGCCCACGTGCACCCCGTTCGTGCAGTTCGACACTGCGATGCAGCCGCCGCCGGCGCCCCCGCCGCCGCCATCCAGGGACGTGGGCCATGTCGAGAACATCAGCTCCGAGTCGTTCAACTCGCTGTTTGACCACGAGGATTCGATCTTCCGCTCGTGGCCGACGCCGCCCTCCGCAGGGTCCTCGCCACCACGCCCGCTACCGTCGTCACCATGCCCGCCGTACTCGCCGGTGTTCTCGCCGTCGCCGCCGTCGCCACCCCCCTGGCCGCTACCGCGTCCAGCGTCTTCGTTGGCAAGACCCCCGTGGCGGTCGGAGCAGCAGCAGCAGCGGCCGGGGCACGGCCCCGCCGCACTGTCAGCCTTCTCTCCCGAGCAGCAGGTCAACCTCGCGGATTCCGCAGCGTGGCTGTTCGTCGTCGGCCCCTTGCTGGGCGAGGGGGCGGAGGTAGTAGGTGGTGGTGCTGTTGCTGCGGCAGTCTTGGAAGCGCCTGCCGCGGTCCCCGCTTCCGTCGACAACACGGCCGGGGCCCGTGCCGGCGGCGGCGGCGGCGGCGGCGCTGACGATGCCCCGGCTTTGAGGACGACGAACGGCTTCATGGCGTGGTTCCGGTCTCCCCGTTCGCCGAGCCCAGCAACAGGGCGGATGTGCCGGGCGATGAGGGCGGTGTTGGCGACCTTGTCGTCGTTGGTGTGTCCGTGCTTCGAGAGGATGTATGACGACGACGACGACGACGACGACGACGACGACGACGACGACGACGACGATGGCCAGAGCGATAGAGAGAGGGAGTAGGGCCGCGGCAAAGATGGAATATGAAGTGATCCCCTCTCGGATTGGATTGTTTCCGCTTTAAACCGTGAAGCTTGTAGCTCAGGCTTTGCGCGATAGCAGCAGGTGGCGCGTTGAAAGGTGGTCGTTAAACAGCGGTCGCCTCTTGGTCCGAGGAACGAAAGTGATTTTTTCAATGAACTTGCCAACCTCTAGTGCGTTTGCTGTATTCCACTGATTTATTTACCCAAGCATACGAGGATGTAGGATTGTTGCTGATTGCTTGTTTTGCTTCGAAGTGCTTTATTATTTACAAGTATTTTACCTTTCTTGTTACCTCAATCTTACCAGTAGCATTAAGGTTTGGAAGGCAGGGTATGGAGTTTTCCTTTCCAACCTTGTCTTCGTGTTTTTCACTTAACTTGTAATTTGTCCAGTTGAGCTGATGTTCGGGGGACCCTGTAGCGGGGGTTCCTCGTGACTGCACCACTACCGCTCGCTGTTGGTGCGGATCGCTCATCGGTGCAAATCAATTTTGGGTGTGACTGACTTGCGGAGGGAGGTACTCAACAAGTAGTACATTTTTTTCCCCGAGACGGGATGAAATTCATTAGACTAGACATTTGGAACGAAGAGCCCTGTAGCGGGGGCTCTTCGAGACGGAGTCGATCTGGGTACTTTGACGCATTTATTTTCTGGGACGGGTACGGGTACGGGAAACGGGAAGAACACGGGCACGGGTATAACCGTACGGGAACTACCAATGTGGGTGTAGGGTGTACGTAGTACCTCAATGGAGAGGCAGGACGACGGCGCTATGTGCGTGTGTGTGGCCTATTACCAAACAACAAAATAAAGTTTCCCATTGGCAGCCATTGCGGTTGCGATCGGGTACTGGGGCGGGAATGGGTTAACGGTACAGGTGGTAACGGTTGTAGGGGTGGGCGTAGGGGAGTAGCTCGAGATGGGGAGGCGGGACGGGGGCGCTCTGTGTGTGTGTGGCCTCCACCATCCATGAGAAAACGTAGTGTTTTCCGATCGGCTCTATACACTTTTGAGTGCGTCATGCGCGGGCTGATTGCGTGGAGGTGCTCCGGATGTGCTCCGGATGGCGCAGCGATGAGAGTCGAACCTTATGCACCCAGAGCGGTGGGAAACGCCGGACACTTGGCTCTCGGTACGCTTCGATGCCAACGATTCAACCAGCCCATTGCCGCACGCAGTCGCGCGGGCTGCTTCCCTGCAACTGCTATATGTCAGGCAGCAGTCAAGAGACAGCATAGCCGTTCTCTCTGAGTAATAGTACTAGGACAGCCGGCTCCCGTAGACGAGATAATATTATCTATCACAGTTTTTTTTTTATACCACCGCGAGTTTTTGCGGCCCATTGTCCGACCACACCTCCCAGCAGCAAACCGTGAAACCAATACAAGCACAACCGGAACACCACCACTGCTGCCCTTGTTTGGTTCACATGCATGCGGTGTTGGTGGGTTATCAGCTCCGCCATTGGATGAGCGGCGAAAACCACGAGCGAAAAACGCCCCGCCAAGTCAACCCTCCCCCCACTGNACCTTTAGCCCCCCCCCCCCCCCCCCCCCCCCCCCCCCCCCCCCCCCTGAAAGCGAGCAAGTCCCTCTCCACGCAGTCACAACATATGCATGGCAGGGTTGCAAGAGGATGCTCCCCCCCCCACCACCTCGCCCATTCCTCGAGATATATATGGTACCATCCTTCCACGTGCCCCGCTATGGAGTTTGTATCACCCCGCCTTACTACGCGCGGAAATTTCCCGACTACCACCCTCAAGCAGAACCAACCGTGGGGGGCAGGCACACCCCGCTCATGA